TATCTTCACTGCTTGTACTGCTGACATCCAAAACTATGTCCCTTTTGGGGTCTACTCGGAGAAAATTGCGGCATTCAAAAGTCAGGTGACCAGGGTAGCCACATTTTTTACAGCCTGCTCTAACATTGTCCTTGTTGCAACCTGGGACTGCCATGACGGTGGTAAGAGAGGTCGCTGGAGCCTTCGCCTTTCGAGAACGGGTTTGCTTCCTCCATATACAAATTCTTTAAAAGGACCAGATTTTTAGATTCTCAGCAAGTGTTTTATTTTCTCAATAGATCCAATTATTTGGCAACATTGCTGATTAATGCTGTGTTCGATTACAATGACTTTCATCAAAGAAAATATGTTTTTCATTATAAAACTGTGCTTGACTTCCATGGCCAGCACCTTGTCTCTTGGCGTTCTTATATGCTACCTTACTTATTCCTTTGGCCACAGTCTGAACAGTTTTCCAGAAAGCTGCTTCAGCAGCCTGAGCAGACAAGCATAGCTTATCTGGATACTTCTACTGTACCTGTCTCCTGAACTACCTCCTCTTTTCCCAGAAGGATGTCTTAGCTGTCTATTTTATAATATGGCCCTGTTAGGATATCAGATCTGTTGAATTCCATATGAGCAACACAAAGCTGTGAAATTTAACAACAATTCTAGTGGAATAAAAATGAATAGACTGCCATCAATTCCTTCTTCCTCATTCTGCTCTAACTGAAAATGAAGCTAAAATATTAGAGAAATACTTCCGTGAATTCACCTATTACATGTCTTTTTAAAATAAAGCTTTGCTGCAGATGCGTTTCCCCAGTTAGTTTAAGAACTTGTTCAAAAATTCCTTGCTAAAATAAAATCTTAAGTGAGGAAAGGGAAACTTTGCTATGCCTAAAAATAAAGACCCTCCCCTTCCCCCACTCCTCCATGAGATTATTTATTACATCTGTACAAAGTTTAGAATTTCAGACTTTGGGACATTGAGGTCATCCAGAGGTTACTTTTCTCCCAGTCAAATACAAACATAATAAAATTGCTCACTCGCTTCTCCTCCCTGCCCCCCTTAAAGGAGCGCCAAAACCACAGTTACATGTACTCATGTGTGACGCAAAATTCTATTTTTAAACTCAGAATCTATCATTAGTCATTTACAGAAGGAAACCATTAACATTAAAAGGATGGAGCAACAGAACTCCTTCATGTTGCCAATTGCTTATAAAACTAATTCTAAATACAGCCATGGCTGGAAATGTATTATACATGTTTTTTGTCACTTAGTAAGATACAGTTTTTCAGTTCACTTATGCCAAGTTATGAGCATATCAGTATTAGACCCTAAAAAGGAAGAAAATGGAAAACTATACTAACTTATTTTTCTGCTTAACCATATCTGTTTAATCAACTGCTTATTCTTCTGCCTAATCATTTTTGGGGATAAAACATTATTTTTAGAACTTTCTTTTGCTTAGCAAAGTTAATATTATCCCAGATTGCTTACGTGCTAAGAATTCATGTTAATGTTGTACATATTTATCAGACAAGAAGGACTTCCTCCATTAAAAAGTATTTACTCATAAATGATTTAATCTAGAAAGGAGACTTTGTAAATTTTTAACTTACATGTTTTCTGAAGGAAAACTCTAAGATGTCAATACCATTTTCAAAACTTTCAAGTGCTAGAGAATAATACTTCTTATATGTTGATTTCTAAATGAATATTCCTAACACACATTCTTAATGGAGAATTACATATTATACAGAATGATATATTCTAAGGGTGATGTTTGTGGGAAAATTAAAGCTTTGTCAACATGCTTAGTAAAATTTTTTAATATAGCCAAGATTCAGAATATATGGTGTGAAGAAAGCTATGTTGCGCAAATACTATTTTAATTCTTGAGCACTTCAACAAGAGTAGCTCGTAAAGTAAATTTGAAACCACACTATGAGGTGCTATGTTTGCAGATGAATCATTAATCTTTTTAAATTTCTTTTTATTTCTCTAACTGGATTACATAATAAAGGGCAAGGGTCATGATTAATTCATTGTTGTATTCTCCTTTGTGCTTTAAATATAAGCTGCTCGATATATATTATGGAATAAATGAACAATTCATATTTGATTGTTTTCTATATTTTTCAAGGTGTGTTACTTCTTTGTGTGCATTGTGATTTTAATTTCCCCAAAGGAAGTTCTTCTTGAAGTGAAAAGTTTATAAGGGTTAGGATAACTAGAGGAATCCCGAATTTAAAACAAAACAAAACAAAAACAAGAAAGAAAGGAAAGATAATTGCCTAACAATGAGGCCTGACAAACAACTTATAGGTGCCTTTTTGCAAACCTGGTAATCTAATCTTCAAACGTCTTTATATTTTAACTAAAACAACCAACGTCTTTGTATCCCTTTAAAATATTTAATCTTTTCTGGCTTTCTCAGTTTGAAGTTCTTATTTCATGTGTTTCTGTTCATGTATTTCAATGCTTACGGTTTATTTCTTTTCTTAAAAAATGCTCCTAATCACAGAGAGATTACTTCATTGCATATCTGTGATTAATAATGCTGAAGAAATCTCTTGTTTGTACATTATTACAGCACCAGTTATGAAAGACCTTCAAGCTTAGTAAATTTCCAGATGAAGAAACACTCGTTACTACCTAGGTTCATGGAGTCCTTCATATTTCTTGCTAACCCATCTTTATATCTATTTTGTACCTATTTTTTTAATTGAACCTAGATTTATGAAAAGGATAAATGAGATTATACACAGTGTAAAAGAGCTTTCAACAGAGCATTCTCTAAGTATAATTTTTTTTTTTTTTTTTTGAGACAGAGTCTCACTGTGTTGCCCGGGCTAGAGTGCCGTGGCGTCATCCTAGCTCACAGCACCCTCAAACTCCTGGGCTCAAGCAATCCTTCTGCCTCAGCCTCCCGAGTAGCTGGGACTACAGGCATGCGCCACCATGCCCAGCTAATTTTTTTCTATATATTTTTAGTTGTCCAATTAATTTCTTTCTATTTTTAGTAGAGACGGGGTCTCGCTCTTGCTCAGGCTGATTTCGAACTCCTGAGCTCAAACAATCCGCCCGCCTCGGCCTCCCAGAGAGCTAGGATTACAGGTGTGAGCCACCGCGCCCGGCCTCTAAATGTAATTTTGATAAAAATAAATGAACTTTTGAAAATTATCAATCCTCTTAATTTCCTTGTTATTATATAATAAAACAGAATCATGGTTCAGCTAGCTTATATTTAGAAGGAAATGGTTTTAAGATAAAATCTTCAAAGAGAACACCTCCTGCATTACATAATTAGAAATATTTTCATAAAACCACCTAAAACTCTAAATCATATATTAAGGAAAATCATTTAGTATCTTTGTGATATCTCTTGAGCATTTCAATATTGTTGTCTTCACTTTGGTGTATCACTATAACCTTCACTCTCAGATTGCCAAGAGTCTGCTGCTTTTCTAAAAAAGGAACAAATCTTGAGCTTTTCACTGTTCTCTTTATTTTCAGAGTAATGTCATCCTGTTGTTAGATACCACTGGCCAGGCCCTTCGTCGTCTCGTCCTTCCTTTAGAAGAGGTTATATCTAAGAAACCTTCCTGGTGGAACAAGGAGGAAGCTGTAAGAAATACCAAATTTGTCCAGCAAATTGCTAAGGAGTTTCTCTAGCTCTCTAACCAGAAAGATGCGTGCCTGTCCATCCTTTTAGTGCCTTCAGTTTACTATAATGCACAAGAGAATGCTTTTATTAATATTATTCATTTGTAGATATTAATGTAATACAAAGACATAGATATAGAAACATGTGTAATTAAATATAAGTAGCTTATTTTTGTGTCCATCATACTCACATAAAGATTTGCCAGGACTGAACTAACAATAATAGAATGTTAAGAACTATTTGATTATGATATTCATAATAAATTTCTAATCATGCAGTCAATTTAACCTGTTTTCCAGTTACGTAGTTATATTTTGGATTTATGTGACAAAACCATGAGTATGATACCTGATTTCCCCTACTAGGTAAATAAATGTTTTGGTTTATTATCTAAACCAAGCTAGTATATAAACACTCTAGGCCAACCCAAGAGAATTTATTCTGCCATTCAGAAAAAGGTAATGGATATAAAACAAGGCTTATCCTCTGCCCTTGGGTAGTATGCCCAGCATACTTAGGTCTTAAAAGACCTGAAAAAAGAGATTTTTTTTTTATATATCATAAATGTATTCAAATCCAAAAAACAAAGTATAATATTTCCTATGTGTTTATGTTGCAATATAAATTCCGTGGATAACCACCAGATAACATGTTTATTTCTAAACAGTATTTGGTCTTATTTTAAAAAAACTTTTTCTGCAGAGGTTTTAGTACATAGTTCACAGTAAATTTTGAAATATAGTTTAATCCATGTTAGCATAAGAGTCTAAGAGTAGACCAACAGCTTCTTTCAGAATTACATGTTTTACACATTGAAGAACTTTAAGGAGAAGCAACTAAAGAGAGACATGACTGCATCTGACAAATTTAATGTGAATATTTTGTTTTGTTTTGTCTTTAGGAAACTTATAAAATGTGTAAAGAATTTTCGCACAAAAACTGGCTAGTATTCTACAAAGAAAAAGGGTGAGCTCTTCATTGTAGAAGATTTAAGCTAGAGTTCTTATTTTGTCCATTCTATTTCCTGTTTAATTATACTTGTTTATTATAAAACAAATATAACCAAATTATAAATGTTTTAGTGTAAAAGTAACTCTTCCCACATTACAGAATATTGGGAAACAGACATGAGAAAAGCTAGCAGCACTCACAATTCCATGACACGGCCACTACTAACATGGGAGCGGTCACTTTTCATGATTTTTTCTTATGCACACCCTGACATAGTTTAGAATTTTGTATGCCTATTTTTTTCAGTTAACATTTTTCTATCTTATTACTTACCCTTAAAAACATTCTTTTTAGGGTTGTATAATATATCATGAAATGATTATGTCATGGTCACTCAACCATTATCCTCACCATTTCCTTTCAAATACAATTTTCTTCTTTTTCAGGAACAGCCTGACTGTGCTGGATGTTCTAGAAGGGAGAACTCACACCATCTCACTTCCCATCAACCTCAAGACAGTTTTCCTCGTAGCTGAGGACAAGTGGCTTCTGGTGGAGAACAAAATAAATCAGTGAGTGGGTGGATCTGTATAGTATCTCATAGAGTGTGCTCAACCCATTTGTCAGTTATCCAACATTCATACAGTTCTGTTTTCCTTGCATCTGTCTTTTAACAATTTCAGTATTTGGCAGCATCTCTACAGGTGAGAGTTACAAGAAGGAAAGGGGGGGAGAAAATTAAAATAAATTAAATGTCGCTTCTCAGAGTATGACATTGAAATTAACAGTAAAAAATAATGACTTTTATGTATAATTCATATTTATTTGGGCTTTTTCCTCTTAACACATTGAGAATTCACTGTATTCTTGCCAAACTGGAGATACTTCAAAGTAGGTTTTCAGTTTATCCTCTTTTTGAAGAACCCCAGTCTTCGTCCTAAAGCTGTTTTCTTTTTATGACTTCACAGAACTCATACCTTAGAAGTTTCTTTTTCTTTTTGTCTTGTGTGTTCTTGTTTATGTTACGTTCGTGTTGCCTCCCCATCAGACCATACCCTTGATGGAAGGCAGTGTGTGGCACTAGGCACACGTAGAGTGCACAGTCAACTGTGAGTCCTCCTCCCTCATGTATGACATCCACTAGCTAAGCACAGGCGCCTTATGCCCCTCTGCTGACAAGCAGAAGGATTCCTGGCTATACATCTGTAGTTTAGAAATCTTAAAAGTAAGTAGATCAGGGATACTACAGTGGTAAGGGCTTCTGTCCCTTAGCTGGTCACAAATCAGAGGTCCCTGCTGGCTCATCAAAGAGTCATATCAAGAGAGGGCTCCATGATAATAAGGGTGTGCCCCATTAGAGTTGGTTTTTTTTTTTTTTAAACAGCCCTTCCTCCTATAGGAAGTGTTGGATTTTTGTTTCACATTTATTACGGCATTGTTATTGTACACTGCTCTTTAACACAATGTTGAGAAGTTCTTTGTTAATTCATGATGAAACTGAAACTGCAAATTATACTCATACTATAAAAAAGAGTCTGGGGAAGATCTAATTTTTCTTAGTCTAGCCTTTCCATTACTAGAAAAAGAAAAACTTTTCACTTACAAGTTTTGTATGTTTACAGGAAATATCTTTTAACTAAGCCTGCACACATCGAATCTGAGGGCAGTGGGGTTTGCCAGTTGTATGTGTTGAAAGAGGAGCTGCCTAGCACAGGGTTTGGAGTTACACAAGGTAAATACCATGTTCTCTGTATTTCTGTGGGTGCTGTGTGGGTGCATGCTTGTATACATACTGTCTTCTAGCATCATTCAAGGATAGCATAACCCTATATTAAGTTTATACCAAAAGAAAAAACTTAGTCACTACACTAGAAATAGTAAATAAGAATCTACCATCTTTCACATCATCATAAGGAAGCTCACTTTTTTGATATCTGTCCTCGAATTGTTTTAACAAATCAGAATTTTTATAAATATAAAATGCATTTAGGTTTCAAGTCTAATTTAGGATAGCATCTTTTCTTTTTTCCACAGACCATTAGGAAATGATTAATTCATCACAGTTTTGGGGAATAAGTAGTTTTTATGAAAAAATCTACAACATACCATTGCCAACACTGGGTTGTGTCAGTTTCACATCTTTTCTGTAGGGAGCTATTAATGATAATATTTATTGCTAATCAAATTTTGAATTCCATAAATATTTGGAGCCACTTTGGGAAGATGCCTTGATTGTTTTCTCAAACAAAATCCCATAAATGTGATTTAAAGTATTTTCTCTTTTTTATCTTGTTCTTTTCTGTTTGAGTTATTGAGAATGAAATCTTGCAAAAAATTAATTTCTGGAGCAATTTAAGGGCATATAGTGTCTAACGTTTGTCTGACACTTTTCAGAAACAGAGTTCAGCATACCTCATAAAATTTCAAGTGATCAACTATCATCTGAAAATCTAAGTTCAGCTGTGGGACAAAAGATTGCCTCTCCCAACCGAATTCTCTCAGATGACAACAGTTACGCTACAATAGTTGTTGGTTTTCCAGATCTCATGGTAAGCATCAATTCTATAAATTTTTGAATATATACTTCTTTCCTTCAAATTGACCTTGTTTGAGGGGTAATTAAAAACATAATAATTTTCAGGTAAACATTCTAGATCAAGTTTGCATTCCAAATCAGTCATTAAAGAATATATTCCACCTATATAATTTCATTATTTTTTAAAAATTAACTTTTAAAATATAATATGATGATATAACTTAGTAAGGGGAAGTGAGTATTCTCCATATGTGGGAGTTTGTGTGACACAGTTAAATGCTTCTCCTACTGGTGGTGATTTTGTATCATCATGTCATCTTAATATGTGCTCATGGAATTTGCCAATAGGCTAATAAAGTAGCAAGTCGTCTAGAATTTTTTAATGTTAAATTTGTTGGGTTGGCATTACTGTAGACTAAGTTTTTCAACACTCATGAACATCAAGACACTTTCCATTGAGTTTTGCTCTGGTTATCATATCTTTACAGCATTCGTGTTATACTATAATCACTAATGGTCTCAACTTATTTTTCTCTTGGATGGGCCCTTCTTCTAATATGTACTGTTATCTATAAAGGAGAGGCTATTTGTAATTGACTTCAGATGAAACTGAGTACCATCTACCCCTGATGGAAATGTGAGAAAATGAAATATAAGTGATTTCGGTCCAAGTTGCCTTCTAATAACCGTAGATGTAGCTCAATGTGTTTTGATTAAACATTTCATTTTCATAATTGCCTTTGTAACTTTGAGGTGGAATGATAGAATCATTTGAAGATAAAAATATGGGCTCTGCTTGATAGTATACCAATCTCATATGCCTCAAAATTTTAATGTAATTAGTGAATGGTGGATCCTTCAGGATATAAGGCATTTGAAATCCAAAACCCAGTGGATAATACGTGCCTTAGGACTTTGACATATCTTTTTCTAATTACCAAGTAAAAAGCATTTGCTATCATATTATACAACTCAGAATGAAACATTGTTGGAATACAGTGTCTACAGCATCCCTGGTTGTATAAAAGAGAGTATTTAATATGCTTTCTACAATGCTTGCTGCTATGAGTAGTAAAAATATTGTAACTTTGTTCCTGAAAGTGGAACTATTTTAAAAATTGATCTTCTAATCACCTTCTGATTGAAGAAATTAGTATAGAAATAAAATGTTACCATAAAAAGGTTAGAAAAGCTGAGTATAAGGCACTGTTTGTGTTAACCCTATAGAAATCCTTTATAGCCTATAAGACTAGTGACCTTGTTAAAATAAAAGCTGTAGCCCTGCTACTTAGTATGGTACCTACCACATAGAAGATATTCAATGAGTATTTGTTAAATGGAAGATTAGAGTCAGCTAGGCAGCCTTTCAGCCTTTATGATAACAATCATATTTTTGGGCCCCAACACAATAGTCAGGCTTTGTGCAATTCTAAACCCTTTTAGACATGATAGTTAATTTTTACAACAATTCTTTGAGGTTTAACAGATGAAAAAACAGAAACAGGGGTTATATTCTCCAGCCACAAAGATTATAAGTAATGGGATTTGATCTCAAGTGTGACTAGCCCTCTCACCCACATCCTTTCTGCCACACCACACTGCCTTTCTGCTTTTATGTGAATTTCTTTGGATTCTCTATAAAACTATCAACAAAGGGATATGCATATCTTTTATATAACTTTTTTATACAATTATCAGTGGCACCTAAATTATTATAAACTTATAAAACTTTCTTAACCTAATACCAAATAGCTATGAAAAACCTATAGCAAATATCATCATCAATAATGAAATGTTAAAAGTATTCCTTTTCTTACCAAGAATAAGACAAGGATTCCCACTGTCACCACCTCCATTGAACATACTACTGTCATAGACATGATACATAAAGAAAAAAATGATAAACTGTACTTCATCAAAATTAAAAACTTGAGCTCTGTAAAAGACACTGTTAAGAGAATGAAAAGACAATCTACAGGCTGAAAGAAAATATTTGGAAACCACATTTACAACAAAGAACTTGTATCTAGAATATATGGAGATTCTTAAAACTCAACAGTAAGAAAACAAATAACTCAGTTTTTAAAATGAGCAAACAGTAGGCTAGTGTGAGGTGTCAGAAGTCAGAGCCTAAACATGATAAGGACATCCATGGTGTGTGTTTGTGTGTGTAGTAGGAGATGACCATTGGTGATGGGCATCAAGTTCCAAGCAGGATGAAGGCGGCATCCCTGTGAGGGGGCAGCCTGGCATGGGATGTGGGAGCCCAAGTAAGGTGAGGAGGCTGTCCCTATGTGAGTGTAGCCCAGTGTGGATTATCAGAACCCAAGCAGAGAAAACAGGCATCTGCCCAGAGGGCAAAGTTAGTGGTGGAGGTGGGAGATGGATCATATATAAGGAACTTGAGCAAGAAGTAAATAGATTAAGGATAATGAAATACATTAAAGATAATGAATAGAGATTCTTTTCCCCAGTATATGTTGTTGTCTGTTTTGTCAAAGATCACTTGGCTGTAGGTAGGTAGGTTTATATCTGGGTTCTGTATTTTTTGTTCCATTGGTCAGTGTCTCTATTTTTGTATAAATACCATGCTGTTTTGGTTACTGTAGCCTTGTAGTATATTTTGAAGTCTGGTACTGTGATGCCTCCAGATTTGTTCTTTTTGCCGAAGTTTGCTTTGGCTATTCAGGCTCTTTTCTGGTTCCAAATGAAGCATGTAATTATTTTTTCTAGGTCTGTGAAGTATGACATTAATATTGTGAAGGGGATTGCATTGAATCTGTAAATCACATTGGGTATATGGACATTTTAACAATGTTGATTCTGCAAATCCATGACCATGATATGTTTTTCCATTTGTTTGTGTCTGCTGCGATTTCTTTCCTCAGTGTTTTGCAGTTCTCCTTGTAAAGATCTTTCACTTCTTTGGTTAAGTGTATTCCTAGGTATTTTATTTTCTTTGTTGCTATTGTGAATGGTGTTGTCTTTCACTTGACTCTCAGCTTGACTGTTATTGGTATATAGAAATGCTACTGATTTATGTACATTGATTTTGTATCCTGAGACTTTTTGAATTTATTTATCAATTCTAGGTGTCTCTTGGTAAAGTCTTTGGGGTTTTCTAGGTACAAGATCGTGTCATCAGTGAAGAGCAATAGTTTGACCTCCTCTTTCCCAATTTGGATACACCTTAAATCTTTCTCTTGCCTGATTGTTCTGGCTAGGACTTCTAGCACTATGTTGGATAGTAGTGGTAACAGTGGGCACCCTTGTGTTGGTGTAGTTCTTAGGGAGAATGTTTTCCATTTTTCCCCATTCAGCATGATGTTGACTATGGGTTTGTCATATATGGCTTTTATAATTTTGAGATATGTTCCTTCTATGCCAAGTTTGTTGAGGGTTTTTATCGTGAAAAGTGCTGAATTTTGTCGAATGCTTTTTCTGCATCTATTGAGATAATAATATGGTCTTTTTTTTTTTTTTTTTTTTTTGCTTATGTTTATGTGGTGAATTACATTTATTGATTTATGTATGTTGAACCATCCCTGCATCCCTGGGATGAAGCCCACCTGGTCCTGGTGGATTATTTTTTTTGATATGCTGCTGAATTCAGTTTGCTAGTATTTTATTGATTTTTACATCTGTATTCATAAGGGATACTGGTCTATAGTTTTCCTTTTTTGTTGTGTCCTATTCAATAAATGGCTCCGGGAAAATTGGATAGCCACATGCGTAAGAATGAAACATGACCCCTATCTTTCACCCCTCACAAAAATTAATTCAAGATGGATAAAAGACTTAAATGTAAAGCACAAAACCATAAGAATTCTAGAGGAAAATGTAGGAAAAATGTAGATAATGTAGATAATGGCCTAGGCAAAGAATTTATGAATAAGACCCCAATGGCAATCACAGCAACCATAAAAATAAATAAATGTAATTTGATTAAACTAAAAAGCTTCTGCATGGCTAAGGAAACAAGTTACAGAGCAAATAGACAACCTACAGAATGGGAGAAAATATTTATGAGCCATACATCTGATAAAGGACTAATAACCAGAATCTACAAGAACTCAAACGTATCAGCAAGAAAAAAACAAACAACTCCATAAAAAAGTGGGAAAAAGACATGAACAGAAGCTTTTCAAAAGAAGATAGGCAAATAGCCAATAAACGTGAAAAAATGCTCAACATCACAAATCATCAGGGAAATGCAAATCAAAACCACAATGAGATATCAGCTTATCCCTGTTAGAATGGCTTTTATTAAAAAGTCCAAAAGCAATAGATGCTGGCATGAATACAGAGAGAAAGGAACACTTACACACTGTTGCTGGGACGGCAAATTAGTACAACCTCTATGGAAAACAGTATGGAGATTTTTCAAAGAACTGTTAATAAAAGTAGACCTACCATTTGATCCATCAATCCCACTATTGGCTATCTACCCAAAGGAAAAGAAGTCTTTCTGTCAAAAAGACACCTGCACTCAAATGTATATTGCAGCATAATTCAAAATTACAAAGATGTAGAATTGACCCAAGTGCCCATCAATTCATGAGTAGATTAACAAAATGTGGTATATGTATACCATGGAGTATTACTCAGCCATAAAAAAATGATAAATTAATGCAACAATTTGGATGGAACTGGAGACTGTTATCCTAAGTGAAGTATCTAAAGAATGGAAAACAAACACCACGTATACTCTCTATTAAATTGGAACTAACCGATGTGCACACATGTGTACAGAGGGAAGTAAAACTTGGTGGAAATCAAGCAGGGAAGAGGAGGGAGGAGGGAAGGGGCAAAAACCTACCTAATGGGTATAATGAACTCTGTCTGGGTGATGGGCACACCTATAGTCATGACCCAAGCACATTACAAAAGTGATCCATGTAGCCAAAAATTTTTGTACCCCCTTCATATTTTTAAATTTAAAAAAAAGGATAATGAAATAATGTATTAAGAATAGTGAAAACAGGTTTCTAACTATTGGAGAAGGGTGTTACAGATACTAGAAGGAAAAAAACTAGAATGAATCCTATAGTCATTGGATTAGAATTGGATATATTTGTGTGAACTCATACTTTTCAATGTATTTAGGTAGATATAGAAATAAAATTAAAGGTAAATGTGAAAAATAAATGAGCAAAAGACTTGAGCAAATACTTCACCAAAGAGGATACAGGGATGGCAGGTAAGTACATAAAAAGATATTCAACATCATTAGTCATTGGAGAAATGCAAATTAAAACCATGATGAGATATTACAGCATGCCTATTAGAATGGCTAAAATATTATAAAAAGCACATGAGTATACCAAGTACTGACAAGGATGCAGAGCAAATGCAAGTCATACATTTTTATGGAAATGCAAGGGCAAACAGTAACAAACACATCCCCAAAGAAGAGCCAAGCAGAGATATTCTCCCTATTAAATTTCAAGGCTTATTATTAATATAAAATCTCAATAACTAAGATTTTATACTTAGGGGTAGAAAAATGTACATTGCAACAGAATATAGTGCCCAGAAACACATGCATGCATATATAGAACTATGTTTTATGATAGTATTACAGTGGGCAAAGTTAGTTGTATTTGGACAATTAGCTGTCTATGTGAAAAAAGGGTGAACATTGGTCCTGCCTCATGCCATTCACAAAAATAAATTCCTGATAGGTTAAGGACTTAAATATGAAAAACAAAACCTTAAAACTTTTAGAGAAAACACAGGAAAATATCTTTATGATCTTGGGAAGGATAAATACATACATGGTAAAATTTTAAAGTCAAGTAAGGAAAAAAACACAAAATTCTAGGAAAGTTAAATCTAGGGGGGACAGAGATGTGATCAGGAAGGGGCACTCCAAGGGCTTCAAAAATGCTAGTTATATTCTATCTTTATGCCAAATAGTAGATGCATAGGCATTCCTGGGTTTTGTTGTTGTTATTGTTGTTTTGAGACAGAGTCTCACTCTGTCACTCCCATAGAGTGCAGTGGCATCATCATAGCTCACAGCAACCTCAAACTCCTGGGCTCAAGCAATCCTCCTGCCTCAGCCTCATGAGTAGCTGGGACTACGG